ACTACTTTCTGTTTGAAAACTATATCTGATGATTCATGGCTTTGGCATAGGAGACTTTGTCATTCAAGTATGAAAAACCTTTGGAGGATTACCAAAAAGAACTTAGTGAGAGGTATACCTAAACTAGACTTTACTAAGGACCACCTTGGTGATGCATATCAATTAGGAAAGCAAGTGAAGTCTTCTTTTCAGTCCAATAAGGATCTTAGAACTAGTAAACCTTTAGAGGTTTTGCACATGGATCTTTTTGGACATGCTGGTACTGTGAGTCTAGGAGGGAAGGTATACGGATTTGTGATTATGGATGATTACTCAAGATTCACATGGGTTAGATTTTTATTTCATAAGAGTAAATCATTTGAGGAATTTAGAAATTTTTTGACTTTGATTCAAAGAAAACTAGGGTTTAAAATTATTTCTATACAAAGTGATCATGAAAGAGAATTTGAGAATGAGAAATTTGAAGAATTTTGTAAGGAGAAAGGAATTGATCATAATTTTTCTGCACCTAGAACCCCTTAGCAGAATGGGGTAGTTGAAAGGAAAAATAGATCATTAATAGAAGCCGCCTGAACAATGTTGGCAGAATACTCACTTTCTAAATATTTTTGGGTTGAGGTGGTTAGCACTGCATGTTATATTCTGAATAGGGTGAATGTGAGATCTAAATTGAATAAAACACCCTATAAGTTTTTAAAAGGGAGAACACCAAATTTGTCACATTTGTATTATTTTGGTTACAAGGTGTTCATTCATAACAATGGAAAATCTGCCTTAGAAAAAATTGATCCAAAATCTGATTAAGAAATTTTTGTTGGATACTCAAGTGTTAGAAAATCTTATAGAGTATTTAATAGAAGAATTTTGGTAATTAAGGAGACCACACATATTGTATTTGATGAATCTGAAAATATGGAGGAGCCAAATGTTGAAGAAGATGAAATTGAGATTAACTCCCAAAAAAATGATAAAATGAATTTGGAAGAAAATTTGGAGATAGAAAACCCTTTGCCTAGAGATTTGAGATTTTCTAAAAACCATCAAAGGGAATTGATTATAGGTGAACCAAGTGAGGGTGTAAGGACTAGGAGAGGTTTAAACAAAGAAGTCAATCATTCACCCTTCATTTCAACTATAAAACCCACTAATATTGATCAAACACTTTTTAATGAATTTTGGATTTTGGCCATGCAAGAAGAGTTGAATCAATTTGTAAGAAATAAAGTTTGGGAATTAACTGCAAGGCTAAAAGATCAAAGTGTAGTTGGGACTAAGTGGGTATTCAAAAATAAGATGAATGACTCAGGAGTAGTCATTAGAAATAAGGCTAGATTAGTTGCTAAGGGGTATAATCAGATTGAAGTGATTGATTTTGAGGAGACTTTTATCCCTGTAGCTAGACTTGAAGACATTAGGGTTTTGCTTGCCTTTGCCTGTTTTAGAGGATTTAAATTGTATTAAATGGATGTCAAAAGTGCCTTTTTAAATGGGATAATTTAAGAAGATGTTTTTGTAGAATAACCTTCAGGTTTTGAAAATTCTAAATACCCAAATCATGTTTTCAAGTTGAAAAAGGCATTATATGGATTGAAACAGACACCTAGGGCTTGATATGAGAGGTTGAGCTCTTTCCTACTTGAAAGATCTTTTGAAAAAAGAAGTGTGGATACAACTCTCTTTTTGAAGAAATGTGGAAAGGATATACTCATTGTTCAAATTTATGTGAATGATATCATTTTTGGATCTTCAAATAAAAATCTTTGTGATGATTTTTCTAAAATAATGAGTAGTGAATTTGAGATGAGTCTAATAGGAGATTTGAGTTACTTTCTAGGATTTAGCATTAAGCAAATTGATGAAGATACATTTCTTAGTCAGTCAAAGTATGTTAAGGACATCCTCAATAAGTATGAAATGGACAATGCTAAACCTGTTAGCACACCAATGAGTTCCTCAATTCAGTTGGATAAGGACCCTAAGGGAAAATCTGTTGATCAAAAGAAATTTAGAGGGATAATTAGATCATTGCTTTACTTGACAGCTAGTCGCCCCGATATCATGTTTATTGTCTGTTTGTGTAATAGATTTCAATCATATCCAAAAGAATCACATTTGACAGTAGTGAAAAGGATTTTAAGATATCTGTTAGGAACTCAGAACTTAGGAATATGGTATCCTAAGTTTAGCACTTCATTTGATATCATTGGTTATTTAGATTTTGACTTTGCAGGTTGTAGGGTGGATAGAAAGAGCACTTTTGGAACATGTCAATTTATTGGAAATTCTCTAATCTCTTGGTCTAGTAGAAAACAAAATTCAGTAGCCCTATCTACTGTAGAAGCTGAATACATCGCATTAGGAAGTTGTGTGACATAAGTACTTTAGTTGAAACAACAGTTGATTGATTTAGGATTGACTATAGGCATTATTCAAATTTATTTTGATAACACTAGTGCTAGTTGCATTTCTAAAAATCCTATTCAACTTTCAAGAACCAAACATATAGACATAAGGCATCATTTCATAAGGGATCATGTGTCCAAAGGAGAAATTGAACTCAATCATGTTTCTACTGAAAATCAACTTGCAGACATTTTTACAAAATCTTTGGCCTTTGATACTTTCAGTGCATTAAGAACAAGGCTTGGTGTGAGTGATTTGAATGCTTAAATAAAAATATTTTTACAACATTGATGTTTATTTTCTAGTTAAATGTTTTTGTGTTCTTTATGAGTTTTTTATTTTATTTGTGAGATTTTTTCTTTTAGAGTTTGTATTTTTTTGTTGTTTAATGTTTTTAGTGTGTTTTGTATGTTGGTTTTAATTGATAGCATAAAATTAAAAACTTTTTGAGTGACAATCGTCCGGGACAAAATTGTTTTCTTACAGGATGATGTATGTAATGTGACAAATTGTCAGATTTTGAACCATTTGTATGCAATTTTCAGTGTTTTATTGTCACATCGTCTGTACGATCTTCACGATCGTTCGGGGCGAAATGTTTTTCAAACAACGGGACAAATGAATAAAGCGGTTGAATGGATAAGATAATTTTTAATACAAACTTCATACGTACGAACCTTTGGTTCATTGGGACGAACACATGTCAGTTTGATGTAGGGGACGGTTTCAACTGGCATTAAAACGATATAAGTTCTGTTCATCCCAGGACAAACACGTGTTCGTCTATACGTAGACTGGTCAAAAGTTTGTACAAAAGGATGCTTCGTAAGTTGTGTTGATTACGAAAAGCCGTTTCATTTTGACGCTTTCGATTGTCCAAACAAAATTTTTTCATATAGGACGAATTGAAAATTTCGTACGGAGCAAAATTTTTTCGTCTGGTACGAATATATCATTTTTAATAAATAGAAGGGCTTTTGAACTCAACAGTGACACTCAAAACTTCACTTTCAATCTCTTTTGTACTCTAGATCTTCTTCCAAATGGTGAGCTCAAGTCAGAGGAAAAAGATTTTAGCAAAGAAACGTCGTAGAAATTCCTCTGAAAATTTCCTTTCTAAAGCAAATGAGGAATCTTTTCCTAGTTTTGCCTCTGCGAAGATCACACCCTCAAGAATCCTTATCCAAGAACAAATTACCTTTCAGGTAATGAACTTATTTGCTTCAACTCATTTTGGTTTTATCCTTACCCTCGTCCATCTCTACAATAAGGAAACCTTCCACTTCTTCCTCGCCAACATTTCTTTTAATTCTGACCACTCTATAATCCGTTCCTATGTCTTCAAACAAAAAGTTAAAATCACCAAGCATGACTTAAGATCCTTTTTGAACTTAAGGACAGAGGGAGCCAGAGCCCATCATTTGATCAACACTCATGATTATTCATGGTCTGAAATTAATAATTTGATGAAAGGGAACAATGTGAACGAACATGTGGCTAGAGTATCTGGTCTAGTTCGTAATGAACGAATCATCCAGCATATCCTTAGAACTTTCATAATTCCTAAAGTTGGTGATAGGATCAACATTACCCCTCTTCTTACTATGGTGAGTTTCTTGATCATGAATAAAGAACCTATAGATGAAGCCTAACTTATCCTTGACTATCTTTATGGGCTGTCTGAAATTGGACATATAGAGCATAAGAGAAAGAAGAACATCACCTTAGGACATCTTGTTGCCTACATTCAGGAGAAGAAATATAATTTGGTTCATCCTGATCAAGAGTTTGAAGAACCGCTTTACTACAACGATGGATCATTTAGAGCGATCTTCAAAGAAGAACCAAGTAGAACTCATGTCATTAGTGATACAGAGGAAGAACCAGAAGCTGCACCTGCACCTGCCAATGAACCAAATTATCAGGATTTGGTTCAAAGATTTGATCGCTTAGAAACTCATTTTTATCAACGATTTGATCAAATTGAGACTCATCTTCAGCAGCAGGCCGCACAGTATCAGCATGACATGAATTTTATGAGGGATCAAATGTGCTTATGATGAGTACTTACTTTAACATCTTTGGTGCTGCACCTCCTCCTCCTCCACCAGATCAGGGTCCTTCTCAATGATTGTAGCACTTAGTTTTATGTATTTTCTATAGTTTGTGTTTTAAATGTGTTTTCAGTAAGTTTGTTGTATGTTTCTTTACTTTAAATGTTTTGTTTCTGTATTGATATCCTGACCTTAAATTATAATATCTTTTTAGTGATATCAATATATGTTCACGTGTTTTTAGATTTAATTATTTTGAAATATGTGTTAGCCTTTATGACAATCATTAGATTTTTGATCTTAAATAGTGCTATACTTTAAAGTGCAAGTCTAAATTAATTTCATTAGAAAATCTAATTTTTTCTAAATTTAAGTTATGCTTATAACTTGATATAATTAGAATTCTCAATTTCTAGTCTCTTAATAGATAGATGTCTTATTAACTCCAATGCTTTGAACTCTATTCACCTTGCTAAGGTGAAACATCTATCTCGCATAGCGTCAGATCATTGCCCTATTTTATTAAGTATTTTCAAACCAGCGATGTTTATTAAAGCTGATATTCGTTATGAATACGTATGGGCAACTTATCATGGAGCAGAGGCTATTGTGAAGAAATCTTGGAATAAATTTGCTGGATTGAATCCGGCTGATTCTCTCAATGTTAAGTTCAGAAGAACTCTTAGATCTATTTTTTACTGGAGCAAGGCCAAATTCAAGAACCTTACGATTCTTCGAGACAAATTGAAAGAAGAAATACAAGAATTGCAATTGGAAGAAGGCGAAATGGGGATTTTTGTGGAAAAGCTTCAGGTTTTAAGATTCAAAATTAATGAACTCAATGAAACTCTTGCTAGACTCAATACTTGGTGGAGGCAAAGAGCTAAAGCAAGGTGGATGGAAGAAGGAGATTGCAATTCGCGTTTCTTTCATGCTTTTGCTAATGCTAGGAAAAACAACAACTGGATTAGTCACATTAAAACCAAGGAAGGGAAAATCACGGAGGATGCTAATGAAATTCAGAAAGTTTTTTCTGATTTTTTCCTGCTTAAATGGAAGCATAGGAATTGTTTAATTGAAGGATGGCCGAATCCTGGAGCTGTAATCAATGAGAATGATCAAGCTGTTTTGGATGTTGAATTCACGAGGGAGGAGCTTCATGCTATCATTCAAAATTCTGGTTGTAATATTGCACCTGGAGTGGACGGGGTTACTTTTTCATTCCTGAAAAATTTCTGGAATCTGATTTCTGAAGATATTTGGTTAGCAGTGAATCACTTTATGGTTTCTGGAGAGATGCCAATATCGTGGAAGGAAACCATTATAGTATTGATTCCGAAAATTCAAAATCCCCAAGAGGTAACAAATTATCGGCCTATTAACTTATGTTTGACCATTTATAAAATTATTGCAAAGATGCTCTTGAGTAGATTGGAATTGGTTATTCATAAATTAATCTCGATGGATCAAGATGCTTTTATCAAAGGACGCTCCTTGTCAGATCATGTTCTTTTAGCTCAGGAAATATTCAATAAATTTTGGTATTCTAAAGCTAGGAAAGGTCTATTGGCAATAAAGCTTGACATGGAACAAGCTTATGATAGCATGGGGTGGGATGCTTTAAGGCAAGTGCTTTCTCATTTTAACTTTCCTACTAAGTTTAAGGAACTCATTTTACAGTGTATCTTAAATCCCAAGTATTGCATTTCGATTAATGGAAAGAAATCATATTGGATTTATGGAAAAACTGGATTTAGGCAAGGTTGCCCTTTATCCCCATATTTGTTTATTCTTTGCTCCCAAATCCTTTCTGATGCTCTTAATGGTAGGAAAGGTGATATAGGGATTTCTATTTCTCCCAAGGCTCCTAGAGTATCCCATTTGCTTTATGCGGATGATATTTTGATTTTCTCTGAATGTAATAGCAAAGTTATTAATGATTTGAAAACTATCATTAATAATTACTGCTTATGGTCGAGTCAAAAAGTTAACAAGGAGAAGTCTATGGTTATTTTTGGCAAGTTTACTAACCATAGAACTAAAAAGATAATTTCCAAACTTCTTAAATTCAATGTGGTCAAAGAATTGAATTATCTTGGGGTAAAGATGACATTGAGGAGGATGGTAACTTCGGATTTCTCTAGACTCATGGAAGTGGCAGCAAATAGATAAAACATTTGGGGACAAAAATTCATATCTTTGGAAGGCAAGATGGTTCTCATTAAATCTGCTTTCCTCTCTCTTCCTATGTTCTTAACTTATATCTCCCTTGTTCCCTTAGGCATTTTGAATGAATTTGATAAAATGTGTAGAAGCTTTTTGTGGAAGAAGAACAATGGCAATACAGGTATTCACTATACCTCTTGGAAAACGTTATGCAAAACCAAGGAAGAAGGAGGTAGAGGACTATTCTCTGCTGTGTCTAGGATTGATCCTTTACGGGCCAAACTAGCATGGAACTTCTGTACAAAGCCTTCTACCATGCTGAATCAAATTTTAAGAGCGAAATATGGTGACGACGTCTGGTTAACTCCAATGAAAATAGATTGCTCTTCGACGTGGAAAATCATCACTATGGGAGCTTAATATTTTAGAAACATTGTTAGATGGAATGTTTCTAATGGAAATTCTATTAACTGGATGTTTGATAGCTGGATTATGGATAGAAGCTTAGCAAGATGGCCAACATTTGTAAACTGTTCTGAGAACAGTGAATTAAAACTGAGTTATTTCATTGCTAATTGGAAGTGGAATTCTGATCTGATTCAAAATACATTTGGGGAACATCTGAGGGATCTTATTCTTCAAGTTCCAATTCAAGACGGAAAAGGATTTGATAGCATTGAGCTTAATTCTAAATTCTTAGGAAAATCAATTGCTGCTCTGGTTTTTCATTCAGCTTCACATAAAAATGATGATGGTTCGATATGGAGCTGGATGAAGAAATTGAAGTTGAGACCGAAGATTGAGCTGTTCAGGTGTAGGCTGTACAATGACGGCTTACCTTCTAATGATTTTCTAGTGAGAAGGAAATTGAGCAATTTCTCAGGTTGCCCGAGGGGATGTATGGATGATGAGAATGAATGGCATATAGCAGGTAATTGTTCAAAGCTTCATGAAGTAATCTTTTTGCTCAATAAATGGGGATTCCAAATTCCTATCTTCAACATTTGCAAGATTGTTTTGAAAGTTTAAAGAAGCTTGTGGGGAAAAATTCTATCATTGCCAATATGTATTGTACGTCTACTTGGCTAGTGTGGAAAAGTAGATGTAAATTGATTCATGATGGCATAGAAGACTCTAATAATTTCTTGGCATCCTATGTGGTTTCTACATCTACATTCAGCAATTTTTTTAATCAAGTTCCAGAAAACTGGGATACTAACCAGCGTGAGCTGTTTTGCTCTTGGTATCCTCCTCCAACCGGTTGGATTAAACTAAATGTAGATGCTTCTATCTTATCAAACAATGTGGCTGGATTTGGAGGTGTAATAAGAGATGAGAAAGGTAGATTCCTTCTAGCTTTTGGAATAAATATTATGCATTGGGATATTGCTCAAATCGAATTGATGGTAATTCTTCACTTGAAGTACATATTTTGTGATTGGATGTTTGAAGCTCAAGGAATCATTATTGAAGGAGATAATTTCAACATTATCAATCTTCTTCAATCGGCTATGAAGAATTGGAAGGTTAGTAAACACATAGAAGAGAAATTCTCATTCCTTCTTGATTTCAATCAGGTTACATTTTCTTTTAGTAAAAGATGTTGTAACAAATTAGCGGATATATGTGCTAATTTGGCTTTAAAGAGTTCGTTTACTTGGGAGAACATTGATATTAAAGATATTCCTCCTTCATTTCTGTTTTTCTTGAAGGAGGAATGTGACTCTTTAGGTTTGCTTTAGGCCTTGTTCTTAGGCTCTTTTTTTATTATTATTAATGCTATTTGCATTTCTTCAAAAAAAAAAACTATGATATTTTCTTATTTTATATTTCTCTTATCAATAAATATTTAGAAAAATTTGAAATTTTTTATTATTGATTTTGGAAATATCAAAATTACTCTTCAAAAAATATATAAATGTACAAAAATCAAAAGAAATGCGAAATGGTTCGCAAGTAGAAAAAGATGCACAAAATAAGCCCAAAAACAAAAAAGATGCACAAAAATGTGTCAATAATTTGAAAAAGATGCGCAAAGCGCCGCATATGGTAATTATTTCTTTCCATTATCTTTTAATCTCTCAATTCAAATTGATCTATTGTATATTTATATTCTATATTGACATTTGAAATATACAAAATTTCTATTCATCCTATTTGCAATGATTTTCTTTATCTTAGTGTCTAAATTGACTCATGCTTTTTATATATTCTTTCTATTATCAATGTTATATCTCTTCTTAAATTCTATGAATTAATATGATTTGCTTAATATTTTAATTTTAATTGCATAACTTATTTCAATCACTTTCAAGATTAAATTATCAAATGAATTTCATATGTCTGCTTACATTTCAAGTCGTTTTCTTCTTTACTTTTTGATGTTGTCAAAAAGAGGGAGAAATTGTTTGTATCGTGGTTTTTATTTTTGTTGATTCATATTGCGTATCTATGTCTGTTTTTGATTTTGTTTAGGGTTTTATGTATGTTGTGTTTTTATTTTATTTTTGTTTGTTATATATTTCTAAAAATTTCCAAAAATGCCTCCTTATTTACACGTGTTCATCAATTCAGGGGGAGTTTAGGATATTTTTTTTAATTTGAAAATTATACAAACAATAATTATTTTTCCATCATCAAAATGAAGAAGATTGTTAAGAGAGTTACTATTTGCATGTTTTACATTCTTGCAACTTTTATAATTTTAATGATTTCAAATATTATTATTTTATGTATAGTTATCTCCTAACAGTTTTTGGAAAAGTTATTTTTGCTCTTGTGTGTACTAACATTTTAGGAAAATCAAACTCCAGACTACAAAGACTTCAAATCAAATTCAGTATGAGATACTTTGTAGATTTAAAACTTGTATTTTTTCTTTGAATTAAGTTTTGAAAGGTAGTGATTGTAATTGAGTGAATACATACACACACTTAAGGAGATCTTGAGAAATTTGTACTGATCGTATGGGACAAACATAGTTCGTACAGGACGATCAAGTCAGTTATCTCCTCATAAGAACAATGGAAGGAGCAGGAGTCGAAGGAAAATTTTCTAAGTCTTGATCGTCTAGGATTAAGTGTATTCATCCCAGGACGAAATGTTCTCTGAAAAATTTTTGTTCAAAAACAAAGTGTATTCATTCCAGGACGAGTTGCTCTCTGGATTGCTATCATACCAGGACGAAGTGTATTCATCCCGGGATGATTTTCTCTCTGCAAAAATTTTGTCTGGACGAACCTTAACTTCATCCCAAGACAAAGTGAACTGACTCTGAAGAATTAAGTGTCATTCTGCAGTATTTGGGAACCGACCTATGGGATAACCATTCGTACCGGACGAACCTAGTTCATACGGGATGATGTGTGTATACGAAGTCATTTCATACCCATATACATTAGGCTCGTTTCCAACGCATTTAAGTAAAATCGCCTAGGATGATCCACGATCGTATGGGACGATCCAATTCGTATTGACTTGAAAATTTATAGTTTTTGGATGATTTTTTGTGTCTTTCTTATAAATAGTCAAGATTAAACTGCCATATAATCTTTTTGCCCATTGATCTTCGTGCCTATTAAAAGAAGAGTCAAGGAGAGAGTGCGATAGAGTGTACGAAGAAGGATTCTTGCTACTGGAGTGTGAAGGCTTCACTTGGAGTTTAAAGGTAAGAGTCTTTGCTTTTGAATTTTAATTACTTCACACTTTTCTTTCTTCTTTCTAGATTTCTTGTGAGGAGATCTGTCAAGGAGACCCGGTTCTCTGCCGACACTTGGAGAGTGTGAACAGATGAAGGGTTCTCTGCTCACACAAGGAGAGTGTGAACAACCTAAGGGTTCTCTTCCCACACTAGGAGAGTGTGAAAGGACGAACGGTTCTCTGCCAACATTGGGGATAGTGTAAAAGGACGACGGTTCTCTGCCGCACCGGGTAGTGGTGGAAAGAGTTTATTGTAAAGGCTTCTCCACCTTGCTATGGGTGCAAAAGAAGAGACACTATTGGTATTAGTGCAATACTCGGAGGGTGCCTCTGGGGAGTGGATGTAGGTCAAGTTTTGATTGAACCACTATAAATCTTGTGTCTTTTATTCTTTACTGCTTTTTATTTTCTGCTTTTTCTGTTCTAAAAATTATGGTTGAAAAATTATTTCTAAAAATTCATTAAAGTTTACTTTCGGTTCAAAATATTCAAAAGAGGGATAAATTTTTTAAAATACCAATTCACCCCCCTCTTGGATAGCCTTAGGACATAAGCTTAGGTTTAACAACCTAATTCATAGTGAACGAGTTTCAACAGTCCCATCTCAATGGTGAAAGGAGTGTTCTATATATCTATCTAGATAAATGAAAGGTAAGGGATACTAAACCATACTTGATATATCACCCATACTTTCAAAATATAAAGACTACATATAACATAATAATAAAAGCAAGTAATTAAAAATAACTTTAAATCCTACTTGGCAAATTTTTCAAGAATTTTGTTAAATGATCTTGTTATGATATTTAAAATTTTAATTTGTTAAATGATCCTTGAAAATTTAGAATTTTTGTCCATATTAATTTGATGCTACTATAGCACCTAGATCACTAACCAAAGATGAAAGGAGAAACCATCCGCAATCAAGTCGCCATAAATCTATAAGCTCCAAAAATTTGTGCCCAACCTCTATGTGACCCCTTTTTTTGGTCAGGCCATCGAGGATGTAAAGTCTGGATAGGTTGTTAAGCCTATACTAATGTCCCAAGGCTAACCAAGAGGGGGGGGGGGGGTGGGGGTGGATTAGTAATTTTAAAAATTCTATTGAAATTTTTTATAGAAAATCAAATATTAAAAATTATGTAACTTAATTTTATATTGAAATATGTTTTTCAAACATAACAATAAGATTACTGAAAATAAAAACACGAAAAAGAAATTGACATATTGATTTAAAGTGATTCGATCCAATAAGACCTACGTCCACTCCTTGAAGACTCCCTCTTCAGATATTATACTATTTACCAAAAGTGACTCTCCTTTTGCCCCCATAGCAAGGCAGAGAAGCCTTTACAATTTTCCTCTCTTTGACTAATCTTCGGTGCGTTAGAACTATCGTTGTTTCACACCCTCTAAGTGTTGGCAGAGAACCGTCATTCTTTCACACCTTTTAAGTGTCGGTAGAGAATCTTCATCCTTGCACACCCTCCAAGTGTCGACAGATAACTGAATCTTCTTCAAAAATATTCTCTCGAGCAACTAAAAAGAAGAAATGAAGAGTAAGAATAAAAAAATCAAAAGAGATTCTTACCTTTGAGTAACTTTGTGCTCCTTTAACACTCCACTTGCAAGAACTCTCACTCAAACACTTTCCCACAAACACTCTTTTACTTGCTCTTGAAAAATCACGAAGAACAACTCTTGCCACGTTAGTTTTTAAGGATCTTTTATATGAAAGACATGAAAAACCGTCCACAAAATTGAAATTTTCCATTTTGAGTGTATACGATCGTACAATACGATCATATTTTTGTACGTATGAACAATTCAAAAATTATTACGTACGAATCAGTACAAACCTGTACGAAATATTTTTGTGCACGATGATCATCCAGTATGAACCCTGTTCGTACTATATGAATAGTTAAGAAAAGATTTCAACATCATCGAGATGAAAAGGTACCCCATATTTTTATACTCTAGACGTCGTCTGTACGAACAAGACATCGTACAATATGAATCGTTCATAAAAATTTGGTATTTGTCGGGATGACAAGGGACTTGTCTAATTTATACTCTGGATGTCATCTATATAAACTAGATATTATACAGTACAATCAGTTTAAAAAACTTTGAGATTTGTCGGGATGAAAAGGGACCCGTCCAATTCGTAATATGGATGTCGTCTATATAAACAACATATTGTATAGTATGATCCTTTCAAAAAATGATTTAAATTCATCAGGATGAAAAGGGTCATATTCAATTTATACTCTAGATGTCGTATGTATGAAGAATCCTTCAAACAGTACGATTAGTACTTATAAAAATTTTCTCCTCTCGTTCTTTTAACTATAACTGAAAAAATCATCCCATACAAAATAAAGTCATACAGTACGATCAGTTTTAAAAAAATTATAATTTTAAAAATTTCCAAGTGTGTGTGTGTGTGCATAGTTACTCAATTACATTCACACTTTCTCAGACTCAATAAAATTAAAAATACTGACTTCATTTACAATGAACCCTAATCAAATCTTATTTGAAGTCTTCAACTGTCTGGAGTATGATTTTCCTGAAACGTTTGAACACACAAACAATAAAAGCAATACATACAAAAATATGTTAGGAGAATCACTAAGTAAAATAATAATAGTTGGAATCATAAAAGAAACACACATGATGCAAGAATCTCAACAATCGAAAAACTATATTGCAATAATCTCAACAGAGGAGAGTTTTAATGTTTAGGTTATGACACAAATTTTTTAGAAGGAAGATTGAGTTTTGAGTAAAACATTACCCGGAGATTTTGCCCTCATTTTGT